AGGTCATTACCAACAAATAACTGGTAACCAATGCAGTTGGTGGAACACAAGCAGAATGTGAGCCCGCACAGGCATCAACGTCAGCAAGTGTGCCGCCACATTTTGCACCAGTTGCAATTTCCAGGTCAGCCTCAAGGACAAGCCTGCATAGATCGAGTTGCAGTAATCAAGCCTGGAAGTGACTATTGCATGGGTCACTGCAGCTAAGTCCTGGGGGGAGAGATAGGGCTTCAGTGACCTAATCTGCCTAAGCTGAAAAAAATGCAGATCTGGTGACTGCAGCAACCTGGGCCTCATAGTGAGAGAGGCATCCAGTGTTACTCCCAGGCTCCTCATTGTCTGGGCCAGCACCAGAGCTGCCCCTTCCAGTGTGGGGAGCCTGATGCCCACATCTACCCCCCCCCCCCGACTCAGGTACAGGACCTCCGTCTTCGATGGACTTAACTTCAACCAGCTCTGCTGCAACCAACCAGGCACAGCATCCAATGCCTCAGCCAGATTTTCAGGGATGGAAGATGGATGGCCATCCATTAACAGATATAGCTGGGTGTCATCAGCATATTGATGACAACCCAGCCAATAGCTCCAGACTAACTGGGTGAGGGGGTGCATATAGATGTTAAATAACATTGGCAAGAGAATCGCCCCCTGTAGCACTCCACATTCCAGGGGGTATCACGGGGATACCCTCTCTCCAAGCACCACCCTCTGTCCCTGACCATGGAGAAAAAAGGAAAACCATTTCAAGGCAGTCCCCTGCACTCCCACGTTGGCGAGGCGGTGGGTCAACAGGTCATAGTCGACCTTATTGAATGCTGCTGTTAGATCTAATAGCAACAGCAGTGCTGATCCACCCTGATCCAGGTGTCTACGGAGATCATCTGTAAGGGCAACCAGAGCCGTCTCCATCCCATGGCCCAGGGTGGAAGCCGGACTGGAAGGGATCAAGGATGGATAACAACAAACCCCAAATCCTTTCCCTCCATTTAAAAGCCTGGGTTGGGAAGGATCATGGTACCCTGTGACATGGCATACATGTTTGCTCAAAGGCATTATAATTGAAGTAACTTGGCTGATAGGGGAGACATCCAAGGGTAAAGCAGACAGGAGGAACTGTAGAAGGATGAAGCTAAAGGAAGGTATGGTGGGAGTGGCTTGGCGGGGTAAGCAGGACTCAGAGGACCTGCTCTTCTTGGGGATACCACCTCCAATGGAATTAACTGTTTTAAAGTCAAATTGAGCTTTAGATGCTCTAACTTCCCTCACAGAATATAAGGAAAAAAACCACCTTAACATAAAAGGTGATAAAAGTCAATTGAAGGTTGGGAAGGGGAAATTTAGCATTTGCTTATTTGTCAATATTACTATTACAGGTATTCCTAAAGTATAAACAATCCCCATGATAATACATGGGTCGGTGTGTTTTTTTAAAAGGAAAAATAATGTAACAAGTTAGAGGGAAGCAAAGCAAATGCAAAAGATCAACCTTCCCAAATATTTCACATCTAGGAAGAAATATATTAGATACTGATATATATTGGAAGAAATATATTGGATTGCTCGTCTGAGCAGCACTGATTAGCAGTCCCCGGCACAAAGGATATGTGCCTTGCCTCGGCCAGGGCCTTTTGAGCCCTGGCCCCTGCCTGGTGGAACATCTCTGGGTTGAGATCAGGGCCCTGCGGGATTTATTACAACTCTGCAGGGCCTGCAAAATGGAGCTGTTCCACCAGGCTTTTGGCTGAGGTGGCGGATGTCCAAATGACACCAGCCTTCCCTGCTCAACTTGATCAATCTGCACCATCCACCTCATTTCCCTTAGGGCACTGCCTACACCTACTGGTGCCAGCAACAGCTGTTTCTGGTTTCCCTGAGAAAAACATGCCAGCCCCTGACACTGTCGCAACAGCCAGTGTAATTAGAAATGGGTAAGCTACTATCAAGGAGTGTTTTAATGATTTATTCAGATGAAATTGCTGATGTTTTTATGAACTTTTATTTATTTTTTTATTATATGTTGTGAGCTGCTTAGAGCTCGCTTGCAGGGTAGGGTAGGATATTAAATAAATAAATCCATTCTAAATTACTGCATTCCCTAAAAACTATTATCCACCAAAGCAGATGAATATCTAAGAAAATTACTGTTTTCCACCAAGACTCCAGATTCTGACTTGGTAAGAGTTTAAAAGCCACACCAAACTTGGCCAAATCCTATTCTGTTGCTTAAGCCTGTCGGAAATCTATTTCAACACAAACAAATCCATCTTGTCCTGCTTTTCATCGCTTTACTCCAACAGCCCTTAGTGACCTGAGAACAAAAGTACCACAAACCTAAAAAAAAGAGAGAGAGAGAATGGAAAACATTTGATCACTGGCTCTGCGAAGATCACAGAACCATGTCCTTCCACATCTTTCAAAAACAGAAAAAGGAAAGCAAATGGTGCCAATTTAGAAAACAGACCTTTACACTTAGATACAAAAATGAGGAAGGCTGCAGCCTTTAATATTCTGTGATTGTTACTGTGCCTGTTCAGCTCACTACGGGGGGGGGGGGGGGGGGGATGCAGCCATCACTGCAACTCTAAGCACTGTGCAATTTATTATTATTTAGTCTACTTGACAAATAAGGCACAGATCAATCAACATAATCTGATCTAATTGTAAAATGGGATCAATAAACAATGTGAAGAATTTGCCATTAGACTTCCTGTCTAGTGACTGCTAATAAGTAGTTCAAGCATCTCAATGAGTCTATTGACTACAGTTTCTACCCACTGTATTCTATGTACATTTTTAAAACATTTCCATATATTTTGAATATAAAAGTGCACCATACACTTTTATTTAATGCAGTAGTTGTTTTTATGGTGACACCCCTCTTTCCCCTCAAGCCCAGCTACATTCAGTAAAAGATTTGGAAAAGTTCTGATGTTTAGGAAAAGAAAAGATCTAATTAGGTAAAGGTAAAGGTTCCCCTTGCTCGAAAGCCAGTCGAATCCAACTCTAGGGATGCGGTGCTCATCTCCGTTTCCAAGCTGAAGAGCCAGCACTGTCTGAAGACATTTCCGTGGTCATGTGGCCAGCATGACTAGATGCCGAGGTGCACGGAACGCTGTTACCTTCCCACCAAAGTAGATAACTACTTGCAATTTCTTGCTTTCAAACTGCTAGGTTGGCAGGAGCTGGAACCAGAGACGGGAGCTCACTCTATCATGTGGCACTCGGGTCTTGAACTGCTGAAGTACCGACCTTCCAGCTTGCAGTTCAGTGTCTTAACCACTGAGCCACCCCAACTCCTAAAGATCTAATTACCGCAATGCAAATGGAAGGGGCCCAGATTTTCTGACAATATTTTGTTAAGTCTGTTTATGTGATCAAGAGCTGTACCTTTAGAGCAAGACATGAGCCTCCACCTTCCCTTATGAACAGTGCAATCCTAAGTATGGTTCTTCTAAACCCACTGGTTTCAATGGACTTCAAAAGGTGTGAACTTGTTTAGGATTGCATTGTAAAGCAGTAAATGTTCATGAAGCTTCCAAACAATCTGCAGGCAAAGGAATGGTGTTTTGGGGGGGGGGGGGGGAATTTAATTTTGGTCATGAAAAACCTTTCCATAAACTCATTTCAGGAAAAAAGTCTGCCATTATATGTTTTCAGATATAAAATATGGATTATTGCTTGCTATCCTGAAGACTTAGCAGACGGTAGCAAATAATTTTTTACAATCACAACAGTCACTCATTTTGCAAGAAATGCTTTTATATTCAGATTTATGCATCTGTTTGCTTCACAATTGGCATCTTCTTTTTGAAAGTGCTTGAGGTAGCTCAATCAGAATTTCTGAGCTTCAAGCTGTCATTATCACAAGATGAAAATGAGCGACTAGGCAAAATGAGGTCTTCTTTTCTAATAAAGTCATGAATCATGTATATTCAATATCATGGCTCCAGTGCAGCTGCTTGCACAGAACCCCCTTCAGAAAGCAGCAGCTGTATAAAACCAGTTGTTTAGGCAGCAAAAGTGGGGATTAAATCCTGCCTTCTCCTACCAAAGAACTGATAAAAGTAATCAGTGCTTCTACTTGATGCAACAGCCCCAGAACCTGGAATGGGGACAGAACCTATGCCAAGTACCCCCTTCTGCATGTACATGACCCCCAGCTGGATCAGGTGATGTGAGTCTAGCTGTAAACAACTTTCAGTGTTAACATCAGTTATTTTTAAAGGACCAATCCAGTACCACTATACATCTTAAAATTGTAGTTTATGTTTCTAGCACCTTTAAATTATGTTTATAACCACATATGGCCACTCATGCTTAAACATCACTCTGTGTGTGTGTGTGAAGTACTGTCATGCCACAGCCAACTTATGGCAACCTCAACAAGGGGTTCTCAAGACAAGTGAGAAACAGAAGCGGCTTGCCATTGCCTTCCTCTGCAGTCTTCCTTGGAGGTTGCCCGCCCAAGTACTAACCAGGGCTGAGACTGCTTCGCTTCCGAGATCTGATGAAATAGGGCTATATCATGTCACCTCCCTCCCAAACACCATTGACCTTGTGTAAAACACACCTGTTACATAGGATTTAATTTTCAGTAAATACGATTAAAATAGTAGCTGCAATCACCAGATTAATCTATCTTTACTCCCACAAATAGCCCAAAAACAAATTCACGGAATAATTGTTCTATTAAAATAAGCTATCTGAAAATTGTTCACGTCTCCCATTTAATTTTATACCATCAAAAACATTTGGTGCATCACTCTAAAGTTCACATCCTAAAGCTTTATTGTTATAATGCAACATGAAATATAAGACAAGCCATATGGAAAATGATTTGTATGGCATGTGTTCACTCTGAAATTGAACCAGTGTCTATCATTATAATATATTTAGAATTGCCAGAATGCTTATACCAGACAATAAAATGGAAGTAATTCTAATCAACATGTTTCTAGAAGCCAAGAGGATTTGCAGAAATGTGGAATGGCTGGACATACCTGGAATACAGAGGCATTTGTAACTTGTTCCAACACTACGGCAAATGCCATGTGCACAAGGATTCAGAGCACAGAAGTCAATCGGCTGGGCACAAGTAGGGCCAGTAAATCCTGGACTACAACTGCAAGTATATGAAGCCCGGTCTGCATAACAGGTCCCATTGTTTTGACAAGGAGATGAAGCACAGGGATCAACTTTCTCTTCACAAGATGATCCCAAATACCCTAAAAAGAAAAAGTATATTGAACTTACTTGCATGGGTCTGTGCCACCAAATTTTTAACAGAGCACAGATTTTTGGAAGCATGGTTTGGTATCTGAAATTATCTCAGATACTTCGCAGACGTGTAGTCAAAGATTTCAAACATGAATGAAAAAAGACGATACACCATTCCCTCTCAGCTTAGAACAGGGTTCTCAACATCGCCTAAGCAAATGCCAGATTTGGAGAGGAGTGCCCATGGAGGGTGGAGTTTGGGTGATGCTTCTAGAGTCTCACCATGTGGAGCCCATTTTTCCTCTTGCTCAACAATTCATTAAGGGAGGGAAATAGTATTGCCAGCTTTTAGTATTGCCACCCTAGAGAGCACTACGGTCCAGGGCCCAACATCATTTGACTATTCCGGGCCCTAAGGATGCAAGGCTCACCAGTACCAGGGCCAGAGCCTTTTCTGTGGTGGCTCCTTACTGGTGGAACGAGCTCCTGGAGGAGATCAGGGCCCTGCGGGACATTTTACAGTTCCGCAGGGCCTGCAAGACGGAGCTCTTCCGCCAGGCCTTCAAAGAGAAGCCACCACTACTGTTACTATCAACGATTCCACTGAACTTCTGGAACCTAGGACTGGCCCAGATGCATCGCTAGGCCTCTATCTGCCCGAGGGATGATGACAGGACAATGTGGATTTAGATCTGAAGAGTATGCCATTTAATATTTTAGCACTGCGAGCACTTTATTGCTAACTGTTAATTTTATAATGCTGATATGAGTTAAAATGTATTTTTATGTAGTTTTAAACTTTTATGGTGATGCCAATTAGGTACATTGTACCGCTCTTGTTAGCCGCCCTGAGCCTGTTCGCAGGATGGGCGGGGTATAAATATAATAAGTAAGTAAGTAAATAAATAAATAAATATTTTTGGGGCAGAAGCCTAGGGAGAAGGGAGCATTTGTGGATGCTGTGACATCGTCATTGTCCCCCCCCCCCATTGCTCAGTTCATGGAGCGTGGACCCACAAGTCTGCCTGCCACAGTACATGGTAAGCCTAAAGGGAAATTGGGGCTGGAGACAGGTAAATCTCTACCTCAGGTCGGTAAATGAAAGGCCTAGATGGGCCTTTACATGAAGGATGGCTTCTCAAAAATGTATGCACAATTTTACAATTTGTAGCACTGGCATCATTTAGTTCAAACAACAATAAAATAATGCAGCAACTCAGATGTTTCTTATCATTTGTAATTCTTGAGAAAAGCCTCAAGTCATGATGCCTTTGAATCAGATGAAGTTTCTTTGCCCTCTGGAAGGACACAGCTGGCTGCAGCTAGATATGGCTTCTTCCCCTGGCTGCCTATGAACCTCTGTTTAGAAATCAGCAATTCTCTCTCTGCTTTTCTTTTCCTTCCAATGCTTTAAGGTATAAGGAATCACATATTTCTGTCACTCATGGGGAATCTGGACACAGGATGAGGATTCCTTAAAAATAAACTATGGAACTCCTCAATGGCAGTACCAATGGTAATGAGGAAGAGATAATCTGAAGAAGCACCTCAGGCTACTTATTCATTAGCAAATCTGTAGGCAGGCATGGCTATGAGTTCAAGTGGGCTCATCTCAATCAGCTGATTTGCTACAGTCATTTCAAGAAGAAAGCTGCAAGGCCTCCTGTAGGACAGGATGTTTTCTGATGATGTACTCATGTATGAAAGTGATTGTAGCCAGCCATTTGGAAGAGAGACAGCAACAGGCTACAGCCCTTCTGGGGCAGTGCTGGAGTCCTCGTATCTGCTCATTACATATAAATGATCTATTTACATTTGTATCCCCTTCTCTCCTTGAAGGGTAGCACACTGGTTTCTCCCCTCCTTCTGTTCTCATAGAATCATAGAGTTGGAAAGGACCTCCAGGGTCATCTAGGCCAACCCCCTGCACAATACAGGAAATTCACAAATACCTCTCCCTCCACACCCCCAGTGACCTCTGTTCTATGCCCAGAAGATGACAAAAACCCCTCCAAACTGGCTAAACTGGCCTGGAGAAAAATTGCTTCCTCACCCCAAAGTAGCGATTAGCATTTCCCTGGGTGTGTAAAAAAGAGCCACAAGAAATAAGCACTGATGCAATCCTTCCTGCCCTCCCGCTCATGATCTGCCTAAGTTCACACAGTCAGCATTGCTGTCAGATGGCCACCTAGCCTCTGCTTAAAAACCACCAAAGAAGGAGAGCCCAACACCTCCCGAGGAAGCATGTTCCACTGAGCAACCGCTCTGTCAGGAAGCTGAAAACCTTTGATTTAATTTCAACCCATTGGTTCTGGTTCGATCTTCTGGGGCAACAGAAAACAACTCTGTACCATCCTCTATATGACAGCCCTTCAAGTACTTGAAGATGGTTATCATATCACCTCTCAGTCATCTCTTCTCCAGGCTAAACATACCCAGTTCCTTCAACCTTTCCTCATAGGACTTGTTCTCTAGACCCCTCACCATCTTTGTTGCCCTCCTCTGGACACATTCCAAATTGTCTATATCCTTCTTAAATTGAGGTGCCCAAAATTGAACACAGTACTCTAGGTGAGGTCTAACCAGAGCAGAATAAAGCAGTACCATCACTTCACGTGATCTGGACACTATCGCATTTGCCTTTTTAGCTACCACATCACACTATGCAGTGTGCGATGATGTGCATACTGAACTGGGGGGGGGGGGGAAACAATGGCATGGAGTTGGGATGGCCTGATCAGACCATCCCAACGCCATGGGAGCGCGCTTGAGCAATCACACAATGGAAAGTCCGTTCCTGGCCCATAGCAACCCATTTGCTACCGGACTTTTCCTAGTGTCTTTTTACTCCACTTCTGCGGTGGACCAAAACAGGTTGCCAACGGCTGTGGGACGCTTCCCAGATGTTTGCGTCTGATCGCGCCCTTAAAATCCACCCAGCATTCGTGCCTATGGAGCAGCTAATTCTGTATGTGATCGCACCCTTAGTCTGTCAAAATTTGCTTTCCTGAAGTCCAACTTATATGTCTGACTATGTACAGCCTTTCCCTTCCCCAAGACTGTAAATTCCAAAATTACATGGTCACTACTACCCAGGGTGCCTGCTGCTTTCACCTCGTCAACCAGTTCTTCCCTGTTGCTGAGAATCAAGTCCAAGATAGCAAATCCCCTTGTTCCCTCTCCACTTTCTGGAAAATGAAGTTGTCAGCAAGACAAGTCAGGAATTTATTTGACCTTTCATTTTTAGCAGAGTTTGACTTCCAACAGATATTTGGGTAATTGAAATCTCCCATAACTGCCATGTCCCTTCTCTTTGAGAACTTTGTAATCCCATGAGGTAAACTGACAGACAATACCTGAGCCCAAAGTTACCCAGTGACATGCATAGCAGATTAGGGATTTGAATCTGGGTCTCTACAGCCCTAGTCTATCACAGCACTGACTTTCCTACTCATTGTGAGTACAACTGAATACAACATAGTGTAACAATAGAATACAACATAGTGTAACCACAGAATTTTTCACCAAGAAAGAGATTCCCCCTTCCCTTTTATTTCTTGTCCTGGAAGTAGGGGAAGACAGACCTATAACCAAAATGTTGTTTTGTTAGAATATAAACTTAGGTAGTTCTGCTTCTAGAATATTATTTATACAAGGGTGCCTTCTGTATTGAATATATGCAAATTATGGACTCAAATATAATTACATGATTAAGCTCAAAGTCTACAATTAAAGCAACTCTGATTGTATATGCAAATGAATATTTACCAGTAAAAAAGTTATCAAACAACTATATTAATATAAAGAAATGAAAAATAAACACATGGGAAGAGGGCCTCCTCACTGTGAACATGGAAAAAAATGAAAACTTTTGTTTCTCAGCTTTTCGTGATATCTGCACTTTTTCCAGCAATGAAATAGAGGCAAAAGAGCCTTGGGGACAGAATTATTATTGGCTGTACAAACCAGGAAACTGACCAAGATTTAATGAGAATGTGAAATTTACTAAAGGGAACAAATAAACAGAAGCCAGAGAAAGAAACATCGCACATAAAATATTGTTCAGAAATACAAAAACATGTTTTTGTTGACAGCATTTTGCCACCAGGTTTTTGAGGTCAGTAAACTTACCTAGTCAGAGAATATCCTTAACATCTTGTGGTGAAAGACAGACTCTGAACATAAAATAAATCCAGGGAACATTTCACAGATAAAGTGTACAATGTAATGAAGACATGTTTTGGATCAAGGAGGAGTTTAATTACTTGGCTTGGAAACGGCCATAAAAACAAGAGACTAAAAATATTATGTGAAAGTGCAATATTGCTTTATAATGCATTTGGTGAGCTGGTTGGTGACTGAAATAGATTTAGTCCTAGAAGCACAAAGCCAAATGTGATAATGAAGTTAGCTTGCAGGATTAGCGAAATAGACAGCTGGGCAAGCATATTAAGTAAGCAAACAAGAGAAACAATTTGGTTGTTCATTTACAAGTTATAGGGTAACCCAAAATTCATGCCATACAAAAGATAATAAAAAGAACTTTTAATATTTTGTCTAAACTTACTATATCTATTTATTTTGGTAGATTTCCCAGCTACATTTTCATTGGCAGAACACTCAAGGTGGCTTACAGAAGTTTCTGGAGAGAAACTGACACCAATCTAGCCAAAGAATTTTAACAAAAATAAACTTTAATAAATAAAAACAAGCATCACTTATTCCCATATCGTATTTGCACTGTCCCCTTCCTCCAGAAATCCCTAACAGTATATGTGGAGTTAACCCATTTAATGTAAGGATTTGTCTCTGTGGTCTTAGACTGACTAATATAGCACATAATAGAAAAATAATTATAGTATATAACAAAAATAATAATTATGCAGGTACAAAAACATGTAGAAGTTTAACTGCAGTAAATATAGCAGCTAATTAAAATGTGTATCGACTCGATTATTTTTAGGGAACTTGTAAAAACACTGAATTTTGTAATGTTTAGAAAGTAAAT